AAAAAAAAGCATAGATGCAAAAAATAGTGGAACTTTGCATATCGACCATGCTGGAAACTGGTAAGAGACTCTTGGCTTCTCCTCTTTTTGGAGTGGCCTAAGTGAAATCTTGTACAAATAAGTTGGCAATACCTCTCACATCATGTACATCCTGGTGCTTGAAGAGAAAGGCAGCAGTGTAGAGAACATAGATTACCCTCATGATGAAGTAACAGATCAATCCCACAACTTCCCTGTTGGAAATGTCGGAATAATGAGAGAATGAACCAAGCATATGGGTCCTTCTTACCTGCAGCAGACTGGGCACAGTCCGGTGCTGTCACCTCAGCCCCCAGCCTCCTGTGTGTGGCAGGGCCCAGCTTCCCTGTCTCTAAGAGAAATACCCTTGAGTTTGGCGCCCTTTATCCGGAGCGTAGCTCCCAACTCTTCTAAACTCCAGAGAAGATGAAACATGCTTCCTAAAAACTGTATTGACCTCTGATTCTTCCTAAAACCCCAAAGCAGCAAAAGCATTTTTTAAAAGTTTATACATTTATTATTTCTGAGAGAGAGAAAGAGAGAGCGCAAGCAGGGTGAGGGGCAGAGACAGAGGGAGACACTGGATCCAAAGCAGGCTCCAGACTCTGAGCTGTCAGCACAGAGCCCGACAGGGGGCTCAGACCCACAGACCATGAGATCGTGACCTGAGGTGAAGTCAGACGCTTAACTGACTGAGCCACCCAGAATCCCTGCATTTGTTGTTTTTGTTTTAATGCATAAAATCAGAACAGGACACTGGATGGCAACAAAAGCATTTTGAAAGCAAGAAAGCAGAAAGGTAAGTGGCACTTGATTTGGCACACGGGGCAAGGTAAGTCCTAAACTGGCAGGGGGAAGAGTTGAGAGGCAATGTAATGTATGCCGCAGAACCTTCCCATGGCTCGGGAAATGGAAACTGGGGTGAGGGCAGAGGTAAAAACCAGAGTGCTGCTTGTAAGTCTGTTTAAGAAACAGAACCTCCAGGTCCTCTTTCCAAAATCACACTGGTAGATAATAGCACTCACCTCACACTGGCCAAACACGGAAGAATTGGTGTTTAGAGAGTGTGAAACACAGAATTGCCTAGAGTTGGAGGATACTGGACACATTTGAGAGTGGAAGAATCATACTGAAAATAGGGAGTAAGTGAAAGTTGGTGTTTTTTTTTTTTTTATTTTTTTAATGTTTATTTTTGAGACAGAGAGAGACAGAGCATGAACAGGGGAGGGTCAGAGAGAGGGAGACACAGAATCTGACACAGGCTCCAGGCTCTGAGCGGTCAGCACAGAGCCCAACGCGGGGCTTGAACTCACAGACCGTGAGATCATGACCTGAGCCGAAGTCGGACGCTTAACCGACTGAGCCACCCAGGTGCCCCTAAAGTTGGTGTTTTAAAGGCCTTTATAAAGAGACTGAGATGAAGTGAACTTTTTTTCAGCTGGGCATTTTTAATCAGAATGATTAAATTAATTCTATGTGTGATAAGATGCTATTAAAGATTTGGGTTCATAAAAGGGAGCTCTAACTCCAAATGCAAACTAACGATGAAATGCATCCTTAAATCTACTTATGAATTCTGTTACAATCCAGAAACAATCAAAAGATGGGGGTTTTTAATTTTTTTTTTAACATTTTATTTTATATTTTGAGACACAGAGAGAAACACAAGTCCCAGCAGGGGAGGGGCAGAGAGAGAGGGAGAGATAGTGGGAGACAGAATCCAAAGCAGGCTCCAGGCTCTGAGCTGTCAGCACACAGCACGATGCAGGGCTCGAACCCACAAATGTGAGATCATGACCTGAGCCAAAGTTGGATGTTCAGCCGACTGAGCCACCCAGCTGCCCCAAAAGATGGTTTTTTTAAGAGATCAATAAAATTGATACATCTCTTACCAGAGATATCAGAGGAAATAGAGAAGACATAAATTACTGCTGTTCAGAATCAAAGAGGGAACATCCCTACAGGCCGTATAGACATTAAAAAATAAGGAAATACTAGAAACAATGTTTTCAAGGTATGTTTGATGATGAAACAGACATGTTTAGATAAAAAAGACAAATTCCTTGAAAGGTACAAACTACTAAACCTCATCAAGAAGAAATAGACATCCTACATATCCCCAGACTCACCAAAAATGTATAGTTAAAAACCTTTCTGCAAAGAAAACTCCAGGCCCAGATGGCTTTATTGGTGAATTCTACCAAGTACTTAAGGAAGAAATAATACCAATGGTACAAAAACTGCTTCTAAGACATTAAACGTAAGGAAGAAATACATCCCAGACCGTTTATAAAGATGATGTTATCTTGATATCAAAACCAGAGAAAGGCATTATAATAAAAGTAGACTGTAGAGCAGTATGTCTTAGGAACAATGACCCATATTTCTTTCCTTTCCCTTTTTAAATTTTAAATAGCTTCCACACCCAATGTAGGGATTGATCTCATGACCCTGAGGTTAAGAGTTGTATGTCCTAACCAGCTGAGCCAGCCAGGTGCCCTGACACACATTTCTTAATAAAATTTTAACAGGTAAAGTCCAAGTGAGCATTTATTCTATGAATTGAAGGTTGGAGTAACATTGAAAAAGCAATAAATTTATTTTGCCATGTTAACAGACTAAAAGCCAAACACATCATCAGTCCTCTAAATAGATGCAGAAAAAGCATTTGACAAAATTTAACACCATTTCATGGTGAAACTCTCAGTAAACTAGGAATAGGAGCTTTATAATTTTGACAAAGAGCATCTACAGAAAAGATAACATTTATACTTACTTATTGGTGAAATATTGAATATTTCCTTGCCAAGATTAGAAATAGGACACGGATGTTCTTTCTCATCACTGCTATTCAACATTGTACTAGAAGGTCTAATCAGTGCAGTAAGTCAATAAATAAACAAACAAAAACATACAAATAAAGTATCTACAGATTAGAAAAGAACAAATATACCTCTATTTGTAGACAATATGACCATTTGTATAGAATCCTCAAAAAAGTGTTTAAAACCAGTGAATTAGTTTAGCAAGGTCATAGGATAAAAGGACAATGTACAACAATAAGTTGTACTTCTATATGCTCACAACAAACAATTAAAAATTGGAATTTTAATATACTATTTAAAAGAGTATCCAAAACTTCAGCAACCATAGAGTTAATATGGATTGCTATGTGGAGAAGATGTTATATACGAACCTAATGGTAACCACAAATCAAAAACCAGTGATAGATATGCAAAAAATAAAGAGAAAGGAGTCCAAATATATCACTAAATAAAGCCAACAAGTTATGAAAGAGAAGAAAGGATCAGAGAAAAACTACAAAAACAACCATAAAACGAGTAACAAAATGGCAATAAATACATATCAATAATTACTTTGAATGTAAATGGACTAAATGCTCCAATCAAAAGACATAGGGAGACAGAGTGGATAAAAACAAAAACAAAAACAAAAAAAACCCAAGGTCCATCTATATGCTGCCTATAAGAGACTCATTTTAGACCTAAAGATATCTGCAGATTGAAAGTGAGGGGATGGAGCACCATCTAGCATGTTAATGGACATCAAAAGAAAACCAGAATAGCCATACTCATATCAGACAAACTAGATTTTAAACCAAAGACTGTAACGAGATGAAGGAGGGGCATTATATCATAATGAAGGGGTCTACCCATCAAGGAGATCTAACAATTGTAAATATTTATTCACCCAATATATGAGCACCCAAATCCTTAAAACCGTTAATAACAAACATGAAGGAACTAATCGATAATAATACAATAATAGTAGGGGACTTTAATACCCCACAAACTTTGATGGACAGATCATCCAAACAGAAAATCAACAAGAGAACAGTGGCTCTGAATGACACACTAGACCAGATGGATTTAATAGATATATTCAGAACATTCCATCCTAAAACAACAGAATACACATTCTTTTTGAGTGCACATGGAATATTCTCCAGAATAATAACATATTAACAAGGTAGCAAATGACATATCTGAAAAAGGGTCGGTACCCAAAATATATAAGGAACTGATACAAGTTAACACACACAAAAACAAATAATCCAATTCAAAAATGGGCAGAAGGCATGAACAGACATTTCTCCAAAGAAGACATATAGGTTGCTAACAGATACATGAAAAAATGTTCAACATCACTGATTATCAGGGAAATATAAATCAAAACTACAATTAGATAGCACCTCACACCTGTCAGAACAACTAAAATCAACAGCCCAAGAAACAACAGGTGTTGGCGAGGATGTGGAGAAAAGGGAAACCTCTTGCACTGTTGATAGGAATGCAAACTGGTGTAGCCACTGTGGAAAACAAACAGTATGGAGGTTCCTCAAAAATTTTTAAATAGAACTATCCTATGATCCAGCAATTGCACTACTGGGTATTTACCCCAAAAATGTAAGAACACTAATTCAAAGGGATACATGCATCCCTATGTTTATTACAGCATTATTTATAATAAATTATGGAAGCAGCCCATGTGTTCATTGACAGATGAATGGATAAAGAAGAAATGGTATATAGATATACAATGAAATATTATTCAGCCATAGAAAGAATGAAATTTTGCCATTTGCAATGACATGGATGGAAATAGAGAGTATAATGCTAAGCAAAATAAGTTAGAGAAAGACAAAGACCATAGGATTTCACTCAGGCATGGAATTTAAGAAACAAAACAAATGAGCAGAGGGGAAAAAGAAAGACAAACCAAGAAACAGATCTTAACTGTAGAGAATAAACTGATGGTTATGGGGGCGGGAGGAGACAGATGGGGGGATGGTTGAAAAAGGTGATGGGGATTAAGGAGGGCACTTGTCATGATGAGCACTGGGTGATGTATGGAACTGTGGATTCACTATATTGTACACTGGAAACAAACATAACACTCTATGTTAACTATACTGGAATTAAAATTAAAAAAATAAAAAATATATCTGATAAAACAATTCAATCCAGAAAACATAAAGGACTCTTGCCATTCCATAATAGTGGTTAGACAGCCAAGCCAAAATTTTTTAAATGGGCACTATAATTAAATAGATGCTTGGCCAAAGAAGATTTTAAAATGGTGAAAAAATACATGAAAAGATATTCAACATCATTGGTTATTGAGGAAATGCAAACTGAAACTAGAATGGGCTATGATTACACAGCCACTACAATGATTGCCATATGAAAAGATTGATAATACCAAATATCAGCAAGAATGTGTAATAACTGGGACTCTCATATACTACTCTGTGGGATAGCCACTTTGGAAAAACAGTTTATCAGTTTCTTAAAAGTTAACACCTACACTTGCCAAATGACTTGTTATTTTGCAAGGAAATTTGAGACTGAGGTTATTCCTCCAGTGATGAATATTTTCTTTGCTACTCTCAAATGTGTGAGCCTCTGCTCTGTTTTCATGCATTCTGTGTACACAGTAACTCTTTTGGTACAATCCTGAATCATAGTGTAATATTCCTGAAAAGCCAGTTAAAATGAACAATACGATACCAACAATAAAAGTAATTTATGGCAACAGTGTGAACATCTCTGACCAAGTTTGCCTAGCCAATGGTGGTTATAAGTCTTTGTAGATTGTAAGGCACATTCCACATATGCTAAATGTAAATACAATTTTTTTTTATAATTGAAGAAATGTGGTAAAAATAATTCTTATACCAATAATATCCATCAGTAAATTATGGGCTATCTAAAATCAGTTAATAAATTAGTAGTTACTGTTAAGTCAATAGGCTGAGCACTTTATTAACTAGTTTCAGGGCTAGATTTGTTTTCCCCATTTCTCATGGCAAACATTCTATGTCCACTAACCCCTTTTTGGTCTTCCTTATCCTTTCAGTTGATGGGGCTTCCCTACTAGATATTAAACATGTCATTGGTTTTACCAGTAGCCAGTTCTAATTCCCTTTCAGGCCAGATCTCTCTAGATGAGTGATTTAGAAATTTAAAAACTGGCTTTGTGAAGGGGCAAAATGAATTTAAATGATCAAATGCCATATATATTAGATAAGCAGATATGTTCACATATTTTTGGAAAATGGTTTAAATGTCCATGTGATTCTGTTGGGTGTTTATGGCATTTGCATTTTTATATTTTGAGATACTTTTCAAAGAGTGCAGTTTTATTAAGTTGAATTTTTACTTACTGTATAGGTGATTGGGAACACTGGAATAAGAAACTACAGCCATATTATTATCCAACTGACAGTATTCCAGAATATTCATCAATTTTGGTTCCAAATGTTGACAATATTAGAACAAATTTTTTGATAGACACCATTGCAAAACAATATAAAGTAAGTTTGATAGTTTCTTAGCTGATCACAAACCTGTATGAAACACATCCCTTTTCACACGGTACAGATAGAAAAATTAAATTCCAGCACAAGGGGCCGGAAGTGGTGCCATTTAAGGGAAACACGTTTGGCGAATGAACCCCAGGATACACTCCAATTCAGTATCCCCTGAACTTCTGACTTCCGGCTTGCTAAGGAAAGCTGTCATATGCTCACAAAGTCCCTCATTCTCTCGTGGTCACGTGAATATTTGCCCATTCTTTCTTCCAGCACAGTTGTAGTACACATTTCACATTTAAATTTTTAATTGAACTAGGATTTATTTTGATGTGGGTCTAATTCTAGAAAGTAATTAAAAATTAGTCATATGAATTTTTAGAATGAAAAATGGCTCCTAGAGCCATAAGGCATTTAAAACCAAACACAACCCCTTTCACCATGACTATTCTATTACTGCAGGCTGTTTTGCTCACGGGAGAGCAGGGGACTGCGAAAACTGTAATGATTAAAGCCTATTTGAAAAGATACGATCCTGAAGTACAGTTATCCAAAAGTCTAAACTTTTCATCTGCCACAGAACCAGTCATGTTCCAGGTAAAACCCATCACTTGCTGAGGTAATCAACATCTTAAATGTTTTGAGTGGTGTTTACAGTAAAATGTGTATGCATATAAAAGCTGGTGTGTGTGTGTGTGTGTGTGTGTGTGTGTGTGTGTGTGTGTGTATAGGAAATGGGGCTGCACCTGGCATTCAGCTATTGGTTTTCCCTAGGCTAAGATGGAAACCAAAGCCAAATAGCATATTTTGACCTAATATAGAGGCTGAAGCTGAACTTTGTGCATAAAATTAATGATTAACATTCCAATAACTTATTTTTTGCAATTTTACACTGTTTATTTAAAAAAACAATTTTTGAGCTCATTTATTTATTTGAGAGAGAGAGAGAGAGAATGCATGTGCGTGTGAGTGGGGGAGGGGCGGAGAGAGAGGTGGACAGAGAATCCCAAGCAGGCTCCGCTCTGTCAGCGACGCGGGGCTCCATCTCACAAACCATGAGATAATGACCTGAGCCGAGACCAGCAGTCCGACGATGCTCAACCAACTAAGCCATCCAGGTGCCCCTACAATGTCTATTTTAATAATGGTATTTATGTATATTAAGTAACTCAATTCACTCTGAGAGACATGCTCAGCATTTTTAGGAATCTGGGTTGAAATCTAACACTTAAACCATTTCCTCTTTCCAGAGAACCATTGAAAGCTATGTGGATAAACGAATGGGAAGCACATATGGGCCACCAGGAGGCAGAAAAATGACTGTATTTATTGATGATATTAATATGCCGGTGATTAATGAATGGGGAGATCAGGTATGACTAAAATATCTCCTATAGATGATAGTTAATCAGTATTTTTAGTTATATGTAAAAAATGTCAATAGCCTTCATCTTATTAAGCCTCCCTAGTAGCAGTTCTGTTTTGTTTGACTTCTCTGGTATAGCTGGCATTCTCCCTTCTTGAGGTCCCTGTGGGCTTTTCAGCAATACGCCTACCTGTCTCTCTGGCTTCGTGATTTCAGTGACCTTTCTGGCTCCTCTCTTCCTTTCCCCAGGGTTTTAGCTTTGTTCTGTTACCTCTTATTCTACATACTCCCTCCAAGGAATACCTGATGTAGAAAATTCCTTTTTTTTTTTTTCCTTTTAACTCTGCCATGAGTGTGTCCCCCTTGTGATCATCTGTCAACCCCAGAGACATTCCCCATCAGAGAACCTCACTGATGCTGTCAGGGTTCTGCATGTTCCTTGTGGGATTGCCAACACCTCCCTCCCACCACTGCCCACTGCTTCATCAATTACATCTACCTGGAGCCTGCCAGCACCCATTCCATCTGGCCTTTTATGTGGATTCACCTCAGATACCTCTAGGAGGTCCAGACTCCCAGGTCCTGTGCTCACCTGAGACTATTCCTCAAACAGCTTTGCACAGCACTTCTCTGACCTTACTTCCTACTTTTCCCACTCTGAAACCTTTCACTTAAAAAAAATTTTTTTTTTATATATGAAATTTATTGTCAAATTGGTTTCCATACAACACCCAGTGCTCATCCCAAAAGGTGCCCTCCTCAATACCCATCACCCACCCTCTCCTCCCTCCCACCCCCCATCAACCCTTAGTTTGTTCT